GGTATGGTATGGTATGGTATGGTAAGGTAAGGTAAGGTAAGGTATGGTATGGTATGGTATGGTATGGTAAGGTATGGTAAGGTAAGGTAAGGTAAGGTAAGGTAAGGTAAGGTATGGTAAGGTAAGGTAAGGTAAGGTAAGGTAGGGTATGGTATGGTATGGTATGGTCAGGTCAGGTCAGGTCAGGTCAGGTAAGGTAAGGTAAGGTAAGGTAAGGTATGATATGGTATGATATGATATGGTATGGTATGGTATGGTAAGGTAAGGTAAGGTATGGTATGGTATGGTATGGTATGGTATGGTATGGTATGGTAAGGTATGGTATGGTAAGGTAAGGTAAGGTAAGGTAAGGTAAGGTAAGGTAAGGTACAGTAAGGTATGTAAGGTATGTAAGGTAAGATAAGGTATGAGCTGTATGTAAGGTATGTGAAGGTAAGGTAAGGTAGTAAGGTAAGGTAAGGTAAAGTACAAAGGTGGCGAAGGTAAGATATGCAAGGAGCTGGTATGTGGGTTGCATAAGGTGTGCGGTAAGGTAAGGTAAGGTAAGGTAAGGTAAGATACAAGTTGGTATGTAAAGTGTGTAAGGTAAGGTATGTGTGTAAGGTAAGGTATGTAAAGTAAGGTAATAAAAGTATGTAAGGTAAGGTAAGAGCAAGGTAAGGAAAGGTAAGGTAAGGTAAGGTAAGATAAGGTAAGGAAAGGTATGTAAAGGTATGTGTAAGGTAAGGTAAGGTATAAAGGTGTAAAAGGTAAAGTAACATGAGACATACTATTTACCACACTGAGACACACTCCTACGATCAAATTGGAAGTCCAAACTTAAAAATATCGAAGGAACAAGAAACCATTTTTTTACACACGAAATAACAACAAAATCTCTGGACACTATTGACAACAAACCCGGGAGAAGCAAAGTTTGTGTCGAAGCTGAAGTAATTGAGTTTTCATAACCAGAGGGAGGAAAAATCTTATAGCTTACGAACTTATTTTTATTTTTAGAATATTGACACAACAACAGCAAAGAGATACAACTAGGAGAATCTGTTGATATATTGCCACTACAACCACAACCTGTTGATATATTGCCACTACAACCACAACCTGTTGATATATTGCCACTACAACCACAACCTGTTGATATATTGCCACTACAACCACAACCTGTTGATATATTGCCACTACAACCACAACCTGTTGATATATTGCCACTACAACCACAACCTGTTGATATATTGCCACTACAACCACAACCTGTCGATATATTGCCACTACAACCACAACCTGTCGATATATTGCCACTACAACCACAACTTATCCACACACTGACACTACAACCAATAATAACATAACACCACCTACCTGCCATACTACAGCAGTGACCACGTTAATTAGGTAAGGTAAGGTAAGGTAACAACAGGCTTCAAATCCGACAACAGGTAAGCAAAACATGTTACCTGGTCAATCAATCAATCAATCAATCAAGCAAGCAAGCAATCAAGCGTGTATAAAGGCTCACTTAAAAGACAAATTCACCCCAAAAATTGAACACCACCACAGTTCACAAGGCGATGGTAAACTTCCCCACAAGCTCACATCAGAGAACTTGATATTTGTTCATAAAAATATATCCCTTTCACCGAGTAGCTTCACCAAACGTAAATTATAACCCAAAAAAGAGTATTATTTTTCATAGCTCATTTGCATAATGTATGTATGCAAATGAGGACAATTATCACCTGTGTTTCCTTTCGTTATTGTGTTACTAATTATATAATACAGGTAGTTGATTGATGGGTATTTTGTTCCTGATGACCTGTGTGTACCTGTAGAGTTTCAGGTGTGTGTAATTAGTTTCGGTTTGGAGTTATGGCTGGAATAGACAGACAGACAGACAGGGACACAGACACACAGATAGACAGACAGGGACACAGACACACAGACAGACAGACAGGGACACAGACACACAGATAGACAGACAGGCAGACACATAAAAACCGACACACACACAAATCGACAAACAGACACGGACACACACACACACACACACACACACACACACACACACACACACACACACACCACCTCATGTGTCACTGTCGTCACATCAGCCTCCAAGGGATACACTATGAGTAAGTGCCTACCTGGTCCTCAAGTGCCACTGAAGTGCCTACCTGGTCCTCAAGTGCCACTCAAGTGCCTACCTGGTCCTCAAGTGCCACTCAAGTGCTACTCAACCAGGTAGTGGATGTGAAGTGTCAGGTGCCACTCTCCCAGGAATAACAACATTACAACCAAACATTCATAACATTACAACCACAACAAAAATAACATTAAATCACAACAAAAATAACATGAAATCACAACAAAAATAACAAAAACCCTGCAAACAATAACATTCTACAACCACAATAAAAATAACTACAATTCCTACCACAACCTAAATAAAAATCCCCACCACAACCACAATTCACAACCAAATAAATCCCCTCTGACCAAACTTACAACCAGTCCTCACAACCGCCAAGGAGTTGTGGTGATGGGCGACAACAACCTCATCTATTAGCGGGTTCGTCCAGTCTTACCGGAACAGCGTGAACCTGCACTGGAGGGTGGGAGGAGGAGTGCCGCCGTGAGCCTCAACCAATCCGGGAGAGTGAGCTCTTTATCACCTGGGGCTTCAACACTGTCCACTGTTGACACTTCTATAATGGATGGATTGTCCAGTGTCTCTCTCTCTCTCTCTTTCTTTCTTTCTTTCTTTCTTTCACTCACTATCTATCTCCCTCAAGCACCTCCCCCTCCCCTCTCCTCCCCCCTATGGCCTCAAACACATCACCTGGACCTTAACGACATGGAAACAAAACTATATTTCCCCAATTCTTGTTTCCCCCCGATGGCTGCTGATGGCTGGGGAATAAATGGTGTTTTGGGGATGACTGATTATGTCTTGTCGTCTCCTACTGTTCCTGCTGCTGCTCCAACACACCTCCAACAGTGCTCCTCCAACACTCCTCCACTAACACTACTCCTCCAACAGTGCTCCTCCAACACACCTCCAACACTCCTCCATTAACACTACTCCTCCAACAGTGCTCCTCCAACACTACTCCTCCAACACTGCGCACTCAACAGTGCTCCTCCAACACTTCTCCACTAACACTACTCCTCCAACAGTGCTCCTCCAACACACCTCCAACACTCCTCCATTAACACTACTCCTCCAACAGTGCTCCTCCAACACTACTCCTCCAACACTGCTCCTCCAACACCCCTCCAACATTGCTCATTAATAGAGGTCATTAACTAAGGTCATCAACACACCTTCGCCAATACAGCTCATTAACACAGGGTCATTAACGCAGCAACCTTCACGTTAACATCACACCTACAACTCATTAAATTTAATTACGGATGGTTAACATTAGGTAAACACACACACACACA